AGGCCACGTTTGGTCCATGTGACGCCGGGCTTTGGCGGTCCCCTATAAATGTACAGAACACAGTACAGAGTTTACTGGTAAATAACATTTATGATTAATAGTTCCCTCCTTTGTTTGCAAACACAAAGCATGTATTTTAGACATTTCCGGGACTTATTCTGCCTCCTTGATTACCTGTGGTGAACGAAATACTTAGATCCACCGAGTACAACTTTCAAGAGGGATCCAGTTACTTATCCAGCAAGCTTTGATATCCCCACTCAATATGAATATTTCAAAACATTTATCACTGATGATATGCTTTAACTTAGTGTTGAAAAAACTAATATCTATAGCGTTGAGAAAAGTGGAAAGTCTGCTAACCTTTCCACGAAGGAGCTTGAGAAAGTCCTTGGGATGTTTTAGCGCATGGGGCTCTACCAGATGTCGGGTAACCGTGCATACTGGAAGGAGAAATCGAGATTTGGTCCTGTAGCTGACGTCATGGGCCGTAACCGTTTTTCCTATTTGCTTACTGCCCTTCATTTCATAGATAGCAACAAGGTGACAGAAGAGGAAATGGTAGACAAAATTTGGAAAGTTCGCCCGTGGGTCGATATGTTTCGGAATAAATGCCAGAGTCTTGTGGCGAGTGAAAAGAACTCGATCGATGAACAAATTATCACTTTCAAAGGGAAGCGTTGTCCCATCAAACAATACATAAAGGGCAAGCCTCACCCATGGGGATTAAAAGTATCGGCACGCTCGTCTGATACTGGGTTATTATTTGACTTTGATGTATACCAAGGGGGGACTGGTAAAAAAAACGGAACTAAGCATGGATGGAGATGTAATAGTCAAAATCTGCCAAAGCACCAAAACTACAAAGTTGTTGCTGATAACCTTTTCACCTCCATAGCTCTGGCAAAAAAGCTACTTGATGATGGTATTCTCTATGTTGGGACTGTGCGGAAACCGTCTAGGAGGATGCCCCCTTGCTTCTGATAAAGATATGGAAGCTAAGGGTCGTGGTTCAATCGATAGCAAAGTGGAGACTAAGCCGAATGTAGCTATTGTCAAGTGGTATGATAACAAAGCTGTTACATTGCTATCAACCTATGCAATATAATCATTAGATAAATGCATTCGATGGGACAAGAGAAAGAAGGAAATGGTTGAAGTGGATCGCCCATTCATTGTAAAGGAGTAGAACAATTACATGGGCGGGATAGATTTGATAGATGCCTACGTGTCAAGGTATAAATACCACATGTTCCAAAACAAAATCACATAGCAACCAGGCAATTTATTTGCTATTTAGTCGTTCAATAAAAAACATTTCCTATGAGAGTGTTACAATTTAGAACAAATGAGAATACTCCATACTTTAGTAAATCCATGTTTGTATATTATAACTTTTATTAGAATAAATTCTGTTAATCTCATCAATTAATTAGCACCCTTGGTGGTCAAGAGCTTAAATGTGTTTCTTGGGTAATCAAGTTTAATTTCACACGTTTTTTTGTTTTATTAAATCGGATAAAAATTGAAGAAACCGCCACACCTATACATGTGTTCTGTTATCTTCGTCACACAGCTGAACTAAACTAAGGTTTTGCGTGTACATGTAATATTCAGGTACCGTAAGGGTATTAGAATCTGAATCACTGATAGAATTTCAATGTCATTTGTAAGAGATGCTTACGTTCACTTTAGGGCCTATTGGTATAGTGAAACAAACGACGGGGAATTTCTCATTCGCAATTCGTCGCTTTTCGACTTTTTCGTTGTTCTAATGTTTCCGAAACTTGCTGATAATAAAATTTGAAACAATAATATCCAATTAGCCATGCTTGTACATTTTATATGCCGCATAAAGCCACAGTAACCGAAATTCAACTATCAATATAACCTAAATGTCAACGAAATGTCATATAATCACCGCTTGGATTAATTCGGGGGAATCATTGACAGTTATCAATCAACGTCTTTCTCAAATCCTGAAATGTTTTTATACGCCCACATTTTCATGTGGACGTATATTGTCGCCCCCGTCCGTCCGTCCACAATTTGTTTGTGGATTCTCTACAGGTCACAATTCTTGTCCAATTTTTACGAAACTTGAAATATAGGTTTATCCCCAAACGATCTCGCCTGCTTTCGATATTGGCATGTATCGGATCGAAACTTCATGGATTATGGTCCCTGTTTGTACGAAAAATCACGTTTTTAGCTTGTGGACCCTATAGACGTCACAGTTTTTATCCGATTTTGTTGAAACTTGAAATGTAAGTTTATAACCCAAAGATCTCAATTCCTTTCGATATTTGCGCATATCGGACCGTAACTTCCTGAATTATGGCCCCTGATTGTACGAAAAATCGCGTTTTTAGCTTGTGGACCCTATAGAGGTCATAATTGTTATCCGATTTAAAAAAAACGTATTATTATATCACCGTTACACCCTGAGGAAGGTCCAGTTCGATTTTCGTGAAAATCGGACCAAAATTGCCGGACAAAATGACCGCCGTTTGTAAGCGAATAGTGTAAAAATATGGTAAATCAAGGTTGTGGACCCTGTATAGGTCACAATTTTAATTCGATTTTGATGAAACTTGAAATGCATGTTTATAACCTAACGATCATGGTTCCTGTCGATATTGTCGCATATCGGATTGTAACTTCATGAATTATGGCCCTTGATTGTAGGAAAAATCACTTTCTTTTTAGCTTGTTCTCTATCCATCTCTCGAAAATATGGGCGTATCCTGCCTGGCAGCCGCTGGTCTAAATTATTAATTAGACATTAATTCAGTTATCCAGGCCATAATCAACTCTCGATGGCATCGGATTTCTCCGATATATAATAGATTAGAACAGTTCAGTCATACTTTGATTTAAGCTAAAAATGGAGGAGCTAGACTTAGCTTCGAACAACCAGTACGGTGGTTGAAATTATTGCACACGTCTTGTCAAACCTTCAAAGGCTAATATCTTCGCTCTCAATAGAGTAATTTGAATGAAATTTTCAAATTATTCATTTTACATTATCTATTTTCGAAGTATTATAGCAAGAATGGCTAGGCTAGCTCTTTATCTAAATCTTACATAATGTATCTTTAATCCATGACAATTGATTAGCATGTTCCAGCATTTTTCAATAACAACTTTCGGTTTTAACCTATTTGATGAATTTATGATATCTGGGCCAATCAACGAACATGTTACCCTGCGCTGACTTGAAACTAAGGTTGTTTACGTCTTTACACTCGCTAGTATTCGACGAAAATGATATCATCACTAGTAATTCGGTCATATTTATAAACTAGAGGTGTAACGCGTCACCACGATGCCAAGTATTACACAAGGGGATTACCTGATCGTCTCACAGCAAGCGAAGAAATATAACCAATTCGCTGAGAATTTTAAGAAAAAAGAGAAATTTATGAATACAATACTCTTACAAAACATCCAAATAAAGGAGTTTCTAAATGTTTTATTGCTATTTTGATCTTTTAGGTTGATAGATAATATATGTATAGACTCATTTTTGTGAAATTCCCAATTTAGACCAAAATCAATATTTTCTCTTGTTTTGTCTGTAGCTCAATATTAGCCTTTGCGCATTCCAACTCATTTAGCACTACACAGGTCACATATTTAAAGTTTCATCAAAATCGAACATAAATTGGGTATATATATGTCCCCAATGCTTTCCACCAGATTTGAGAAGAATGTGTTAACAAAACTCTGGCCTAACTAGATCATGTTAACAAGTCTTCAGCAAAAAAGGGGGCATAACTCTAAAAATATTGATCCGACAACGACGTCTATAACTATAGGAATTCTCATATGATCATAAGCTTCCGTAAAGTTTCAGCAAAATCTGATGAAAACTCTGGTCTATATCGTACTGACAAGGATTACAAGCTTCCTGAAAAATCTGATAAAAACGGTAATACAGGCAGTATGGACAGGTTTCTGAAAAAGGGGTATAACTTTTAAAAATCAACGACACTCAATGTACGTATTGTGACTGATTGTGGCTGGTATCCACGGGGAGGGGGGGGGGTCAAAAAGGTCTGCAGAACATATTTTTTTCTCTCATGGAAATAACGTCATGAAGACTAATATTGCTGCTGTTTGGACTGACTCACTGTAATCCTAGGTATATGCGCACCCAAATGAGTCTCCTAGTCTTGTCATGTGAATAAATGTCTAAATAATAATTTATACAACATTTGAAGCCAACAAAAGACCTGTAATAGTCAGATGTAGTACTTTTATTATACATATTTTACTAAGTTAACTTCATGAGAAGCGGTATTAAATGTTCCAGAAAGACTAAATATATCTCGCCTTGTATGTTCCTCCTATCCAGAAATTTACACACCACATGATTTGTACACACACTAATTACTAAAATCAGAGGGAATATCTGTTCTATTAGTACGTGAAGGGGGGACCACACCACACACAATACAAACCTATAGACATGACACAATATACAGGCACCTCAAACCACAAACGTTTATATCAGATCAAGTGAATGGATCAGTTGTCAGTTACATTTACAATAACATGTACAGCTATGGAAGCCTATTGCGGCCATTTCAGAATCTCGTCCCCTCGCCGCGAGAAGTCGAGGGCGAGAACGCGAGAAGACGAGAAGTCGAGGGCGAGGGAGCGAGAACGCGAGAACGCGAGGGAGCGAGAAGTCGAGGGCGAGGGAGCGAGAGAGCGAGAACGCGAGGAAAAAGGGCGAGAATACGAGGATCTCGCCTCGAGAACACGAGATTACTTTCACCTCGACTTCTCGTCTTCTCGTCCCTCGACTTCTCGCTCCCTCGTGTTCTCGCCTTTGAAAAACCTCGTGTTCTCGCTCCCTCGCCCTCGACTTCTCGCTCCCTCGCCCTCGACTTCTCGCTCCCTCGCGTTCTCGCCCTCGACTTCTCGCCCTCGACTTCTCGCTCCCTCGTGTTCTCGCCTTTGAAAAACCTCGACTTCTCGCTCCCTCGCTCCCTCGCCTTAGGGTCAATCTCGTCCTCTCGTGTTCTCGCTCCCTCGCTTCGTCACAATCTCGACTTCTCGTCCTCTCGTGTTCTCGCCTCGGAAGTGCAGTTTATAACGCATGTCCACTGACTACCGTATCGGCATTTGTATTCAGTCTGGTATTTTCATTCAAAGTCAAAGCCGATGGAAGCTCTAGCGATCAACAAAATTCTCAATGATTTGGGCTTAATCCATCTCTTAGATGTATTTACTGACAATTCCGTAAGTACTAAAGTAGCCTATCCTGTAGATAGATACGACTACAAGTTTTGTTTGGATTGTTAAGTTTAAATTTTGTCTCAGAATTGAATTACCCTTTTGTGTAGTCTCAATCAATATTATTATTAAGCGAAAACGCACATCTTTAGGCCCGTGACGTGTAGCCTATATTTACTTCATTTTATTTAAATGTTAGGCCTAGATATTGGATATTTTCACAGGTTACCGATACCAGTTTAAATATGTTTTTTGTTAATATACCATAGGTAAACTATTTATTAAATTCATTTCATAACCCTATGCCTAGTCCGGGATGGGATATCGTATTCTATTTATAAATTCAATACGTGACAAATCGGTCGTTTGCTGGGTTAATTTGGCAAGGTTGCATAACTTGCACGTGCTAATTCCATTGGCATTGATCATACAATTTGGTTGCTTAAAGCCCCAATAACACTCTTGTTGTAATTGAATAATATGTCCCAATTTTTATTCTGGTCAACAAAGTGTATTATTTTACAATATTCAAATAAATTGATGATACAAATTTCATCGTAACACACCTAATTAAAAAAATTGGAAAAATTCAACTACATGATTTGAAAAGGTTAACGTAGACCTTTTCAAATGTGACTTGGATTTTAAAATATTTTCGAACCCTCTGGACAAGTAAAATAGGTTGTAATGGATAATTTACACAACAGGTAGGACACATAAACATCTGGTACTTAGAATAAGACTATTAATTATTTTCTAGAGCTGCCAAGCCAGCAAGAGTGTTATTGTCCCTTTAACAGTAACAGCTAGGTCACTCGGTACAGTTAGGTGCCCTATAGATTTCCGTGTTCTGGAGGCGTAGTCCTATAATTGACCGAACGTTGCCATATTACTATTTTATAATTATTGGATGTGGATGTGATTAAATGCGGCGTATGTTTCGTTGCCTGGCAACCTATTTTTTGATTTTAAAAGTATATCACCATTACACCCTAATGATGTTTGAATTTTGTGAAAATCGGACCAAAACTGTCAGACAAAATGGCCGCTCTTTGTCTGCAAATTGTGTATATAAGTAATACAAAGGTTATGGATACCCTCTAGGGGTCACAATTTTGATCCGATTTTAATTAAGCTTAGACCATATCTTCATATATTAAAAAAATCTTAGTCCCTTTTGATATTTGTGTATTTCAGAGCGTTACTTTTTGGATTATGGCCCCTGATTGTACCAAAATTTTTTGTTTTTTTTAGCTTATTCTCTTTTCATCCCTTGCAAAATGTGGGAGTTTCCTGCCTGGCAGCTGCTGATTATCCGATTTTAACGAAACTTAAAATATATCTTTATATCACAAAGATGTCAGTCCCTTTTGATATTTGCGCAATTCAGATCATAACTTTCTGGATTATAGCCCCTGATCGCATGGAAAATCACTTTTGTTCCAGCTTGTTCTCTAACCATCTCTTGCAAAATGTGGGCATATCGTGTCTAGCAGCCGCTGGTTTTCTTCATTAATATATGTTTATTTAACAGGTTGGCCCTCCAGAAGTTCTAACATTAACCGATTCAGAATTTAATTTCCTTGGTGTGAGTGCTATTGGGGACCGTGCTAGGTTGAGACAGAGATGTAGAACATATTTGAATGGTAAGTAGCATGTGCAAAGTCTGGGGATAGCGATAGTAGATGTTGGCAAAACCGAAATACTGTTAAAAGTATGGATTGTAGTTAACTCATGTGTACAAACAAGAAATGTCAATGACAGACGGAAGTTATCGAAAATCTTTAGCCAATTTTAACCCCCAGAGTTAACTACAATCCATATTTTTTTTAAATCGAAATAAGCGCCGTTTATTTTCGATAAAGACCACTAGAGTTATGCCCCAGAGTTAGAACTTTATAATTTATATGCTGCATTTATTAACTTATTTTTATATGCCCACATATGAAATACGTTGTCACCAATGTCTGTCTGTCGGTCCGCCTGTCAATAATTGACTTGTTAATGCTATTGTGGATACAGTTTTTAACAGATTTTTTTTTCAAATTTGTTTTCTGGAATATGATAACTGCTACAGTGTTTTTTCAAATTGGGTGTGATGAATTGGGGTCATGAGAGGATGAACCCTATTTCTGCATCCTTCTGTTTCAGATGTGCTGCTGTCGAGGCAGAGCTGCTGTGTAGGCGTAATTACACACTTTGCAAGGCTATGTTTATAATATTTCAGTAATATATGCAATTGTCATATATCTGCAGTTTAATTATGTCTTTTTGAAATTTTTATCCTGTTAGCTGAATAACTGCTGGTAAATTTAGCTGCGCATGAGAACATGTTTGGTTAACTGCTTTTCACCCCAACTAGCATGTATGTTCTCATTGAAACTAGAACTTAACTTTAAGGAATATTAGGTATTAATTCCTTGTGTTTAGTTAAATTTCGTGGTCTAGATTTGTCTTTGAAATGGCTGCAGATCTTTCATATATAATGCATACCTCAATATGCTCAGTTTATCATTTTGAAGATTTTCAAAATCAGATACAGGTATTTTTAAAATCAAATAAGTGTTCTGACTGTACTATGAATGCTATATATGGATGACTGGCATATTGCCCTTGCTTGGCAGATTTAATCTGGCTGATATAATCTGGTTCTTGTATGGCAAATGCATTTTCCATTCATTGGTTTTGACTTCACAAATTCAAATTTTCTAGGTCAGTGTGAATCGCCATCTTTAAAGAAATTCAAAGAGCTATCAGAAAAGAAAAAAACACAGAATAACAACAAGTTCAAGTCCAATCATAGATTATATACTGGGTGGAAGTTATCTACAGGACAGAGTTTTAAACTAGTTCCACTATCTCAAGGAGGGGGATCTATAATTATGGATCTTCCCAAAGAGTATTCTCTTCCAGACCTTCAAAAAAAAAATGATTGCAACTTTCTTCCCAGATGGTCAAGCAGTCCATAAAAACATAAAACTTTCACATTGTGAAACATTCATCGGAAATTTTGCTGGTGAACGTGTGCCATCAAGACTGTTGAATGGTGATCTTTTTTCCCTTGATGGATATTTTTCTGAGATAAAATCTAATCCCGTGAGATTATATTTGTATGCAAAAACCACAACGGTTAATCAACCACCATCACCATCAACTTCAACTACCACATTAAATCAACAAACTTCAGCTACATTAAATCAACCACCATCTCCATCAACTTCATCTACCACATTAAATCAACAACCTTCAGCTACATGTACTCAACCACCATCATCATCAACTTCATCTACCACATTAAATCAACAAACTTCAGCCACATGTACTCAACCACCATCATCATCAACTTCATCTACCACATTAAATCAACAAACTTCAGCTACTTGTACTCAACCACAACTAGCAATTAATGCTGTAAATTATGCAACAAATATCATCAATGATGACACAGATGATGAACTACCGGATATCTCATTTTATTCAGGAACACCAACTGTAAGTATATAAATAGAATAATTTATAATCAAGATGCAATTTAAAATGATGTTGAGGGTACAAAAAATACAAAAAAGACTATTGAAAATTTAGGACAAAGTTGGGCCTTTAACTCTATTCAGTTGAGCCCTCACTCACCAAAGGACCTTGGCCAATATTTTATAGTCCATTAATCATAGAATGGCTACCGATTTATTTTGAAGAATAAGACGCAACCACCTTCAGTCTGCTCCAGTAATCAGACTGATATCAAATCCCAAAGTAAAAGTTAAATTTGTCAGAAATACTCAATTTTTTAGCCCTCTTTTCAGCCCACCCAAGGATCTTTCTTTATTATTTAAAATTGGCACAGCAGTCTTCATTATTGTGTGTACGTGTATGCCATCTTATGAAATAAGCGATCTTTTTACTTGCAGATAACCTTCAAGAAATGTAAAAAGTAAGTAAATTGTCTTTAATAAATGATACTTTTGTTGGGCGTATGCTCCATATTTTGAAATGATCCTCACAAAACTTTTAGGCTAGATTAAAACACTCACCCAGAAGGGGACAAATTTATATCATCATATTCATAGGCATATCTTTAATTCAGGCTCTAGATAAGGCCTGGTAAACCAGAGTCAATTGGTTTTAAAGGGTAAATGACTCTCATCAGCAAAGATTTTGCCCATTTGATTAGATTAATGCTTTCTTCACATGCATGGAAGTGGTGTGACTGTAGTTGATTCATTCTGGTATGAACTGATAATTTTTATGTGATGTGTTCGTAATGACAGACTGTTTTTTATGCAATTGTTATGAGCATAAGGTATACCGGTAGATCAAATTTCATTTGAGTGATTTAACAAGCATGTATTCTAGAGTTATCGTCCAAGTCTAATATCCTGTTTACCAAATGCATATATTTAGATTTATGCCTTACTCTTAAGCACTGATATCTAGGCCAATAAAGGCAAGAAAAAATTTAGACGGGCACAATATATCAGGTAGTTAAAACTATCTTAATTTTATTTTCAGAGCTGAGAGCTTGGAAGAGATTCTAGTTCGCTTGAATAGTCAGATAAAAAATGAGAAAAACATCATCAATGTAAGCCGAGGTGATGTTTTGTCTGGAACAAGGAGAGCGTTTTCCAGAAAAACCTTCAGGCCCGAATTCGGTTTAAGCGTCAAATTTTCAGGGGAAAATGGTATCGATGATGGGGGACCATCCAGAGAACTTTTACAACTTCTAATGAGCTCTATAAAAGATTCACAAGTGTTTCAAGGGTCAGAGTGTAAAATGCTCTGTCCTGATATCCCCAGTAAGTATCAAATGCACAGGTGAATCATACTAATAAAATCAGCATTGTCAACTGAAATCAACCTTTGTGACCATGCTTCCACTTGCTCCCAAGTAACCAGTCAGACTTACTGACATTATCTTGTTATATGCTCACATTTTAGTATGGTTATATATTGTCATTATTCCGGTTTGTCATAATATCTTGTTAACACCATGGAGGTTTTTAGTTTTGATTATATCTGAGCCAATTTGGTTGCCTATTCGATTGAAGGGAAAAATGCTATTTTACGGATATCTTCAAGTTATTTCCTTTTGCTATATATATATCTTGTGGTCTTAGTGGCTTTATAGTCTGGGGTTTTAATGTTCTACTGTTCGGCGCTGAACTGAACTAATGAAGATGGGAATACGCTTACTGACTTATATGCGCATGCCAATGTTGTCATCAGACATTGGTTTTCCATCCGATCCGAACAACTAGACAGCTGTCCTTGTCGGGCCCTCGGTCCGGCATCACTGACAAGGGGGAACCACACCAGTAAATCTGGATGCACTTTCTCAACCAATGCAGGGATCGAACACCTGAGCTCCAGACTAGCGAGCCAGCGTCTTACCCACTGGAGGCTCAGTGCGGGGATATCTATTAGCTTAACTGCACGATTTAAATTATTTTTCAGGTGAAGAAAGAGATGATTACAGACTGTTTGGAAAAATCATATCATATTCAGTAATTCACCGTGGTAAGTATTTTGATATTCATTCCTTTTAACATTAAGTATATAGTGATGCAGGTAGCTGCAGTTACAATTGAATTTCTGGATGTTATCAACTTGGATGTCTGTGGTATGTCTGGGCATAAAAATGTCATTAGACACCACTTAAGATGAATTTTGAACAATAATCTATCGCTTTATCTACATTTAAGCCTAGAGAGATTTTGAAATTAACAAACAGCATAGGTATCTGCAGTTATTGTTGAACTTTTGAAAGCAATATTGTATCATTGTAGTAATACAGTGTCATTTCAAGTATATATAGATATTTAACTGATATTATGCATATACCAGCTACCTATATTCTGTCTTGATATTTATCCTTATCATACAAACAAATTTCTGAGTGATTTTCCTTCCAGATTGATGTAAATTAAAACTAAAAACCTAAAACAAAATTATTAAATTTCTTTTATTATGTTTCTACAGATTTAATCAATCTGTTTTATTTAGCTTACTTTATTAGACTGCAGATGTTTGCAACCTTTAATTGGTGTTTTAATTTTAAACAACCTTTAAAGATACATTATATAAGAGCTAAATCTGCCTAATGTGGGTTTTTATTTAGGCCTCAAATGTTATAAAAACTATTATTTAGATATTTACTTATTACTTGACAAGCCTATAATCAACTCTCCAGCAGATGTAAATGGATGCAATACGATTGCCATTTAATGATTTAATTCAAACGTGGAGACGTGAGAGAGTCTTGATAAACAAGACAAGTAATGTTGCAGTGATAATAAAAAATTTGTCAGAACTTCAAACAGTGACAACATCTCTAAGAATAACTTAATTTGAGGAAATTTTCAATATATTACTTTTCAAATATTTATTTTTGAACTATTATAGCAGACGCCAGCTCTTTATCTGATTCTTACATAATTGATCTGGAGCAGAAAAGAAGGATTTTAAACTCCATTTCATAATTTATATTTAAGGATCAAAGATAAATTGACTCATTTAATCTTAACATAATTGTTTCTATTTTTTCAATGTAAAGGTCCAGTGCCAAGATTCTTTTCTGGAATCCTTTATGATCTGATAGCTTTTGGCTCTTGTGAACCAAAATTGGATGACATAGTAGATTATCAAATCAGAGAACAAATTAAAGAGGTATTTCGAATGCTAGTGTATTAGATATAGATTTGTTCAGTAGTAAAATTCAAATGCAGGATCTTTTCTGTTTGTCAAAGTGATTGTATCATACGGTGGGTGCCGAATCTGGTTCCAATTTAATTGTATTAGAAAATGCATATAAAAGCTGGTGTTTTGTTGTATGATTATATTGATGAATATTTTTTTTTTTTCGTTTTTTAACAGTTGTCAAGGGCAGATGATGTAATAATGTTACAAGAGGCTGCTCAGCCTCTTATTGGCCATATAGACTTTTTAGGAGCTATACCTCTTATATTCGATGTAAAAAATAAAGAAAGTCTAGTCACATTATTAACACGGTATTTTGTTGTGGACAGGGTAAAAGGAGTACTGAATCAGTAAGTGAATGTTTTTTGATCACTGTTTATCTGAAAAATTGGTGTTCCTGGACGTAGAAAAGCTACAAGTTTTTAATGGGGAGATAAAAAAAAGTGATGTCCTCCATAAGTCAATGCATGTTAATCCATAGGCAATTAATATCAGGAAAAAAAGTAGAAGGAAATGCGGTTTGCCTGAGAAATTTGTTAAACTTCCACATTGAATGACTTATTATAGAAATATGAACATATTTCATCAATAAATATCCCTAAACAACTAATTTTAACTTTATTTTAGGTTCTGTGAAGGGATGGATTCTTTAGGTTTGAGAAAGGAAATAATTAAAAATCCAGAAGTCATGAGAGAACTTTTTGTTTTCTCGTATGAAAAATTGTCGTCCATTAATATTGATCACCTGTTTACTCCGGTTTTTAGCGAAAACAGCTTTTCGCTTGAACAGGAATTAAACAGCCATGCTCATTGGAGAGATTTTCTTCTGGATCTTGAAGGTAATCATCCTCAGGTATATTTTTCTGTTTTTCATTGTCTATTAGTTCTGTCCCACCTTTATCATGTTAGATTAGTGAACCACACAACAGTACAGTGTAAATTTTTAATAATACCATGGGACAAATGGTATGGTTGCCCATGTCCATCTGACAGTCCATAGGTATTTCTTGTCTCCAAATATTGTTCCATTGCGAGCAAAGATATTAACTTTTAAAGGTTGGATAGGATATTTGCATTATTTGCAACCACCGTTCTTATCTACTTTTAAGTAAAATATATAGATATCCAATGGCATCCAGAGTTGATAATGGCCTGAATAATTTAGATAAGATTTCAGGCCCAAAAAAAGATCTGCAAAAGGCAGATTTAGCGCTTTCATAATGTACTTTTAATTTCTTGACAACTGCAGGCTTACAATAGATGTGGATGAAACTCAATTTTTATTTATCCTCTTAAATTTCAGAAACAGATGAACTGGGTAGTTTGTTATCTTTTGTGACTGGTTTAAAGGACATACCTCCACTGGGATTCAACCCACCACTAAAGCTACTGTTTAGACACCCATCTTTTGAATGGGACATTGCCCCGTTTGCAAATACTTGTGCTAATACCCTTAACATTCCAGTGTTAAAAGATTATGATGCATTCAAAACTGCAATGGCCATGTCTTTAAGAATTGGCAATATTTTTACTGACGCTTAAAATATTAACTTGCCTTTTTCTGTTTTACCCAGTCAGTTTGAAAGTTTTTAAGATAGTTATATTTAAAAACACTTTTTGGTCATACAACGTAGTCTGTTTTATCCAATCAATTTGATAGTTTTTAAGATAGTTAATTTAAAATTGCCCTTTTTGTGATACAACTTAAATCGGTTTTATCCAATCAGTTTGATAGTTCTTAAGATAGTTATATTTAAAAACGCTTTTTTGTGATACAACTTAGTCTGTTTTATCCAACCAATTTGATAATTTTTAAGATAGTTATATTTAAAAACACTTTTTTGTGATACAACTTAGTCTGTTTTATCCAATCAATTTGATAGTTTTTAAGATAGTTAAATTTAAAGTATTGCTTATGTTTGTTTGTGTAATAATTTCTTATTTACCTTTGGGGGTAACCCGTTTTAAATTTATTTCTTTGTGATATATTTTATGTTCTTTGATTCAGTTTTTATTTATTTCTGTGTAAAGCTGCAACAATCTAAGAAAATATGCAATGTATAAATTTTGCATTATCAATTTTTGCAGTCTGAGTTATTTATAATTTTTAACATAAAATTTTATGTTAAAAGATGTATAGTAATAATGAAGCAGTATTTTTTACACCTGCAAACAGATAAAGTCCGACAAATATTACCTTTATATTTTTTTATCGTTTACCTATTAAATATGCTCTTTGTAACTTAATTTCTTTGTTGTCAGAATTGCAGTACCGGTATCAGTAAAACACAAACTACTTCCCTTTGCAAGACTTTTTGTACCAAATCCTATGCCTGAACATTTTGTACATGTAAATTTCCTACAAGAAACTGGTTTTCTATTATTTGAAAAGGAGAATTAAATTGTTTTAATTTCATAGGGAATTTCTTATTTGACAATGGGTAGAAATAATGATTAATATACAGGCTTTTGCATATAAAGTTAATTTGAATGTCTTCATTGCAATCACAACAAACCTTTTTAAGATTAAAATTCTTACATTAATTTTTAAACTCCCACATTGAAATGTGGTTGTAAATTTTGTCGTTACCTTGGTTAGCTCTGTTAATATCTGATTGACTAAAGATTTATACACAGTGTTTAAGGTCATCAGACTGATTTTCAACCATTTCTAATATTTACTGCCACAGTCATGGCCTTTAATCACTTTGAAAAACATTGCAGATGCTCTTGAGGCTAAAGTCAATATCCGATTCACATTAAATTTATTAAGTGTTTAAGGTCATGAATGATTTTCGATGTTTACTGCCATGGCCTATGATTACTTTGAAAATTCTTGTGGATGCTCTAGTGGCTAAAGTTAATATCCAATTGACTTTAAATTTATACACAGTGTTTAAGGTCATCAGTTAAAGACGCATCAACAGAACACAATTTTTATGGGAAACAATCACCGGTTTTATTCTAAAAGCACCACGTTTCGATAAGAGGATAGTTGTCGAAACATCAAATAAAACCAGTGATTGTTCCCCATAAAAATTTTGTTCTGTTAATTTGTTTCCCAATCAATAAATGCCACTTAAAGATTAAGTTAAAGACACTTTTTGATTTTCAACAATTTCTGATAATTACTGTCAACATTATGGCCCTTGATCACTTTTAAAATCCTGTGGATGCTCCGACCAAAGTTATCATCTGATTTGATATTATATTCACTAAAACAGAGTTGAAGATTATGAGATCTTATTGATTTTCAATGATTTTTGATGAACTTAAACAGCTAAATCCATGATATTAAATGTTTTGTATATTAAACTTTAGCATGAGCCAAACAAATTCTAATGATTTTCTGTTAATTACTTAATGAGTTGTTACTCTTAATCCGATTTATGTGCATTATAAATGTTTCATTAACGACAAAAAAAAAATTATGCAACTGTCCAGTCGATTTAGCTGCTGTGGGGGATTTTTTTGTTGAGAGGCAACCTATCCTTAAATATGGATTAGTGTACTGCCATGTGTTTTATTATTGTTGATGAATATGTTTAATGATGTTGCCTTAATTAGGTTCCATATTAAATTGGTTAAGTTTGATGATCAACTGTTCCATGTAAATTTTGGGTTAAACATGATTTTGTACCTTTAGGCATAGTTAATGTCATAATTTTAATTTCTTAAAAAATCCTTTTATTAAGAAACTGTTATTGTATCTTGTTAAGTTATTAAATATTCATAAATTTTTTCTGTGTATGTACTGACTACATCCCATAAAGACTAGGCCTTCTACCATTTTAAGATTCTAGATTTATTGCTGTTTTTAAAATGTAGGCTAGATACAGGATTTTTGAAAGGGACGGGATAGGGTGGTCAAAGGAAAGTCTTGAAGATTTTTCATTGATGGGTAGAAACCGCTTACACATTTGACTAAAAAACAACAGTGTAAGACAAATATGTATTTAATACATCTACAAGATCATTCCATGTCCGGATGGGCAATAACTAAAACCCTTTCACCCTTCCCCTATTTACGAAGTCCCACTGTTCAGACATACTGTCATGATTTTTTTGGGAGGGTTAAATATTACAGGATCCTAGACCTGGTTAAATTAATAAGTAAGATTGTATCTAATATTGAAATTTGAGGCCAATAGCTTAATTGCACCAGGTATCATGAAGGTGCTGACAATACAGTACCACCACCCCCACCACCTCACTAGTGCTCCTTAACTGTTTAGCTTATGCCTTCGATGGATTACAGTGCTTATCCCGAGAGGTGATTGTGACAAATAGAAGAGAAAATAACATACTTTGCATTTCAGGCCTATATCTGTTAATAAGGCCTTATGGGTAAAGCCTTTCCCAGCAACTAATACCCCCCCAAAACCTTAGTTCAGGCTGATGAATAATAGGTTAATATACACCCTTGGCCTTCAATAAAAGCTTTGTCTTCCAAACTGTTTGACCAGCGGTTGCCAGGCAAGATACACCCACATTTTGCAAGAGATGGACAGATAACAAGCTAATATAAGATGTGTTTTAAGGAATATCAAGAGCCATAATGGGGCAAGTTACGATTCGATACGCTCAAGTATCAATATGAAAGCATATCTATAGGAAATAAAATTAAGTTTCACTGAAATTGGATCGGATAAAAAGAAAATTGTGACATCTACAGGGTCATAACCTTATTGCGTACGGGGAGTGGCTAGTTTGTCAAGCTGTTTCAGTCCGATTTTTATGAAATTCAAAATCAGCTGACATTATTGTGTAACGGTGATAAATTTAAACATTTATTCCAAATCAGGCAAAAAGTCTATCCTCTAGATGAACAACAATTGGCCAACACGGATTTTCAGACATTCAGGGGTCATAATCCAGGAAATTACCATTCCGATATATCAAAAGGAACCAAGATCTATAGGATAAAAACATATTTTTATTTTCATCAAAATTTGATAAAAAAAATTGTGACCTCCAGATGATTAACAACCATGGTATTACATAACCTACTTTTACACTATCAGTCCAATTTTTATGAAATTCGAGCTCAACCATCATAACTATGTAACAGTGAAATATACAGTGGAACGGTTTTGTAAATCGGATAATAATTGTGACCTCTAGAGGGACCACATCGAAAGAAATCAAGATCTTTGGGTTATATTCTATAACCATACATTTCAAGTTTCATCAAAATCATATAAAAATTGTACCCTCTAGAGGGTCCACAAACACTGTATGTTTAATTAGTCACTTCTCATTTTTAGCCAACTATATAATTCTAATGCCTCTTCTGGATCATTTGGCATCTCTTTTCCGGCCTGCACTAACAATTCTGAGCATACATTTTCAAATTCTCTTAAACAACCGTTGGGTCCATAAAATTTACAAAACTGACTAAAACTATCAAGATCTTCAACAGCAACTTCGGTCTTGTAATCAACTGTATCTGAATATTAAAATGAAAAAAAAAAATCACACAAAAATATCTGATATATGACATAAAAGCAGCTTAGTTTTCATTTAATGATCAAATAATGACCAAATAGTTTCTACCCCCATATGGTGAAAATAATTTCTCATATTAAATCTTGTGATTGTCGCCTTACCAAACAATTGTGGAGTAAAATATAACAAGTCTGGTTTGCCTGCAGGACACTCTGCCCCTTTAGTTGGTCTCATCTTATGTTGATTCCAGTCTTTACGGATTTGGTCTAAGTCTTTTTGAATGAGATTTGTGAAGCAAAACCTGAAACATTCTCTGTAAGACATAATGATACCAATACTGCATTATCAATATGAAAACTAATATGTATGCTTGTTAACTTTGCTGTAAACATATTATATTATATTAGTATTAGTTAATTCAAGCATATCAAAAAAGGTAAACAATACCAATACCTATAGAATGTATTACATTGCAGGGACCTTAATAATGGAGGCTCTATCATAAATATATGCCAAGTAGCCTTTCTTTATAACTTGGCACCTAAGTTTGACTACCGATAATCTAACTATAAACATTACATAAACAAGGCCCCAAGAAGTCATCTAAATGAATGAATGAATGAATGGGTGTCACTTAAATACTACCCCTTAAGAACAATTAAAAATTATCCCTTAAGAACAATTAAAAGTTAAGTCAAGAATATAATTATTCTGTATTGCTTATTGTTACCTCAAGTAAGTATATTAGAGGAAAGTTTGTAGATTTAATTATAGATAGTGACAATTGGTAGGCAAGAAGACATTCATAATTTCGCTCATAATAAAGTAATTTGACTGACATTTTCGATATATTCATTTTGCATTATCTATTTTTAAACTATTATAGACAGGCGAGATCTTTATCTAAATCTTACATATTGCATATTTAAATTTCATTCAGATTCAATTTAAAGTTTATTTCGATACAGTATTTTGGGGTAACAAAACAACCCTTTTGTATAAAATTGTCAATATTCACCATCCAATATCATATCAAAATAACCACACATATCATCACTTGCTAGAGTGGTGGTCACTATGATGACAACACATGTCCACATAACAGTATATGGATCTAAAAATGTTGAAATGATGTATACACACTTGTTTTGGCCATTTTCGGTATTAATCTCTCCTGAAGCTTCTAAATCCTTAAATAAATCCATCCAGAACTGACAACCACCCTGTTTTGCAGACCGCCAGAATC